GAACATACAGCTGTACTGTGAGAACACCACACAGGAGGTCAGAGCTTGGACTGTCATCATTATATTTTTCATCACCATATTTCTTATCATCATATTTCTCATCATCATCATCACCACCGCCCTGTTGGGCCATTTATTTGTCACATAGGGCTCGCGATCGTTTCGCCAAATCCCTTCAATCCTGCGCAATCATTTCGTTATTGTGTAAAAAATCTAGACTGGAATCCCTGTCTTCTCTCATCAGTGTTAGCTGGTCTAAGGCAGTGGAATCCAGTCTGGATTGGAGAGGGGCGCCTGTGGAGTGTCGGCCAGATCCCCAAGTCACTCCCTGTTGCAACATTCTTTTCAGGCTATAATAATCTAAGTGTGCCTGCGCGCTGTTTACTCTCTCTCTGAGAGAGGCTTGACAACAACTAGATTGTCATGCACAAACTTACCACCAAGTGGTGCAGAGCCAGCAAGTCTGTCTGTCTGTTTTCGTTTCCTAATATACCTTCATGACTTAGAGGAAACATCTAAACGATGCTAAGTACCCTGGACTTCTGAAGTGATACGTGTCAGTCTGCCCGAAGCATCATTGTTTTCACCTTTCTCGGCATGCTTGGCGAGTCAGTTACAATCAAATGGGTTTGCAACTGATTCTCAATTTAACGAAAGGCAGCAGTGACCGCTTTTACCTCCATTCTCAAACTATATATTGTGATATCATATGCCAAGCTATGTTGCGCTGTCGTCCGTTACCTTTTACTATGAACCCCAACGCACTTCACCTGCCTCTCAGCACAGAGCCAAAAGTATAGATATTAACATCACATAGGTCATAAATCAGTTGTTGAATTACTGATTTCGCAACCCCTGATGGCTAGTCCCTGCACTCCCGACTCATTGGGATTATAACCCTACAAAAGTCTGCTTGTTTTTCACCTACTCTGATCCATTTATCTCCTTATCTTTCCTAGTATTTTCACGCATGCACTCATGTCTAATAGTGTCTTCTGCCTGTGCTATCCAAGACTTTCCTCTTTTTAGTCTGTGACCCTTATCTATATCTAGAGTTTCGTGCAAGAGCTGTTTCTTGTCTGCTACTACTCTGAGGCAGAACCTCGCATGTAGCACTTTTGTCCTATCTACAATAGTCGGCATATATCGCATACATACTAATGGTGTAACTCTTGTACATCCCAGAATCACTCGCATGGCTTCATTCTGTATACATTCTGTTTGAGTAACATCCAAATTTGTGCTGACCATAAATATCATCATCAACATCAACAGTTTTTGTAACGATAGGTTGGGAGGTCACGGTTCGCCAACTCACACAGTTAATACTCCCGAGTCAAGTCTGTACGAGACTATCCTGTGTACCAAGAGATTGGGTGATGTTCTTGTTGTTTTCACTTCTTCTTCTTCTTCTTCTTCTTCTTCTTCTTCTTCTTCTTCTTCTTCTTCTTCTTCTTCTTCTTCTTCTTCTTCTTCTTCTTCTTCTTCTTCTTCTTCTTCTTCTTCTCTTCTTCTTCTTCTTCTTTCTTCTTCTTCTTCTTCTTCTTCTTCTTCTTCTTTTTCTTCTTCTTCTTCTTCTTCTTCTTCTTCTTCTTCTTCTTCTTCTTCTTCTTTTCCGTTTCTTCTTCTTCTTCTTCTTCTTCTTCTTCTTCTTCTTCTTCTTCTTCTTCTTCTTCTTCTTCTTCTTCTTCTTCTTTTTCTTCTTCTTTTTCTTCTTCTTTTTCTTCTTCGTCTTCTCTACGCATGGAATGCCTCGCAGTGTCAGGGCAGAAAGAGATCTTTGGAAGGGGCCCATCTGCTTGCTTCATATAAAGTACTTTTCGATATCTCTGATTTACTGTTCCTTTCATGTTAGTTAGTTCGTGAGATCTCTTCATTTTCTACGAGCACTAAAAAGTGAGCAACTGTCGGTTCGCTGGACCAGTCACCCTGTATTCAAACTTCTAATGCAATTTCCGTTGTGAAATTTAGGCTAGGTTTCCCTGATCCATTATCATATTTTTTGAACATACTTATCATTTGACCTTTCTGCTTTCCCACTTTACTGTTGAAATGCTTAATCGATGGCCCTTTCTGCGTTACCACTTTAATGTTGATATACTTTTCACTTGACCTTTCTGCTTTCCCACTTTACTGTTGATATACTTATCATTTGAACCTTCTGCTTTTCTACTTTACTGTTGATATACTTATCATTTGACTGTTCTGCCTTCCTACTGTAGTGTTAGACATTCTTAACCTTTGACTTTCCCGCTCTCTTCCACAGGAAGTTGCTGTTTTGCAGAACAACCAGTACAAAATCAAAGAGAAAGAGATCCAAGGTTTGGAGTTTGCAAGTCAAGAACAAAATGAAGTCATTGCGGTAAATACGATAATCTGCGGATAATCTGCTAGGGCTTTTGCTTTTGTAGGAGCCGTCGTGGTGTAGCGACGGTTCGCGAATCCGAAGGTCGTAGGTTCGAATCAGAACGGAGCCTGGAATCTTTTGCAACGATGACATTGGCTCCAGGTCGACCCAGCCTTAAATGGGTACCAGGTCAAGTACATGGGAAGTAAAGGCGTCCGACCTGATGTTGACCACATCACCCACCAAATGCCGTTTGGTTAATAAAATATAGGTCTAACCCTATGTGCCCATGAGGCCTGGAGGAAAAACGTTCTTTTATTGTCTATAGTTTTTCTTTTTATTCTGCTGTTTAGCTGTCTATGGAGCAATCCATCCATTTGTCCACATCAGATCTTTCCGCTGCCGTCTATTTCGGTCAGTTTCCACATCACTTTGTTAATGTCTTCACTGACCGTATTTAACACCTACGCAAGTGTGAGGATTTAAGGCAAGGGTAGGCAAACTGTCCCGCGGACCAACACTGGCCCACCGAGCCATTTCTACATGGCCGTGAGATTGGGGTACAGTTGCACATAATCTCGCCCTTGAGCTTAAAAAACAGAACACAAAAGGTTTTTAAAAACTAACAAATCACTAAAGGAATTTAAAAAAAAAACTAACAGAACATATAAGGGATTAAAAAAAAAAACCAACAGAACACACATGGGATTTAAAAAAACTAATAGAACATAAAAGGTATTTTTTAAAAATGCAACTATCAACATCCAAAAAAGTGATAACCTAAACAGGGAAAAACAGAAACTGATGTAGCCACATCTTTCTTCCTGCTAATCAAACACATGTTGCCGACAAACTTAGACACTGGGAGACAGGGATAATAAAATATAGGGCGACCACAGTTCTTTTTCTGCAGATAACCAGCTACCTTTGGGAATATATAGAAGGGTTTTAGTGGGTGAGTATCTCTGGCCAAATGCGTTGAGAGGGATTGTAATCCTAAATGATACCACAAAAATATCATGTCACATGTCTACGTCACGATCTGTGGAGGTTACAACTGTTCTTCTTCTTCTTTCGTTCGCCTGAAATAAGTTGTCTATGTCAGCAACTTTGTTTCTTGTATAAATTTCACTGTTGTTGTTAGTTTATTCAGTGGTCCATAGAGTTTACGTTCCACTGTTGTTCTTTCTGGTTAAAAGGTTTGCGTTAATGTGTCAAATTCGGTGCAGTCGTGGAGTACATGCTATGCTGTCTGGGGCACCTTTCCACAGGTGCACATGGCTGATACGCCTATCTTGAATTTTGTGTACGTGTGGTTACAACTGTTATTTTCAGTAGAAGAAAATAAATATCTATTTGACTTTCCGGAGATGGAGCCTAGTTCTCCCTCATGAGAGAGAGAGAGAGAGAGAGAGAGAGAGAGAGAGAGAGAGAGAGAGAGAGAGAGAGAGAGAGAGCCCAGCGCACTAACTACTCGACCAATTGCTGCTCTAATCATCATGTGCCGTACCGAAAAACTTAAACAGCCATGGTTCAACGTTACATTTGATCGACAAAGTCACGAACCAGGTCTATGTTCTTGCCACTCTTAGTAAAAAAAAAAAAAAAAAGATAAATTGTGTTGCCGCTTCCTCAGCGAAGGCTGCCTGTTGTGCGCCCACTGCTGTCTGTGAAAATACTTCGTGGTGAGTCTCTAAACTCATTCACGGTGTGACTCTCTTATTGCTGCCAGAAATGTATATTTTTAAATTTTAAAATAAACAGTCTGTGTTAGAAATCGTACCTAAGTACTTTCTGACATTGTGAAAACAGTCAGTAACCACTAAAAACCACAGAGTCGTAATATCACATTCATGTCGTAAAAAGTTAGGTGGACGGTCCTTAGGGACCTACAACAGAACCAACATACCAGACCCAGACATGCAGAAAGGGACATCATAAAAGACAGATAGGAACACCACAACAGACAAATAGGGACACTACAACAGACAGATAGGGACACCACAACAGACAGATAGGGACACTACAACAGACAGATAGGGACACCACAACAGACAGATAGGTACACCACAACAGACAGGGACACCGAGCTACTGAACATTGCACTGGAACAAAATGTTAGCCAGTACATTTGGCACAAGAAAAACTGTCACAGTTATAACCAAAACTCCATGTTTGAAAGGAGCTCGTCGAACGTGGCCAGATAATAAATCAGATGAGGTAATATTTATGTTTATACCACTTCATCTCTTCTGACACCTGAGTCTTGTTTGTTTCTACACAGAAACTGGAAAACGCCGGCAAGGAGAAACAACATACCATTGAACAATTGTCAGCGGAGGTGATAACACTGGGAGCCCAAGTCAAGACCAATAAGACACAGATCCAGACCCTGACAAATGAGGAACGCACTTTAAGATATAACCTGGTTCAGATGGTGGAGAAGGAGAAAGCTTACATAACTTCGCTGAATTTGGTATTTATTGCAACAAACAATTTGTTTCCCCCGATTACTTCTATCCATTTTGTTTTGCATATATGTCTGTCTGTCTGTCTGCATGTCTGTCTGTCTGTCTGCATGTCTGTCTGTCTGTCTGTCTGTTTGCTTGTTAATCTCTTTGTCAGTATGTCTCTTTGTATCTTTCTCTGTGTGTGTGCTTGTTTATCGCTCCTTCTGACAGTATGTCTCTTTGTATTTCCCCCTCTCTCTCTCTGCCTGCCGCTTTATCTGTCTTTTCCTCTACCAGTCTCTTTGTCATTCTGTCTTTCCCTCTTCACCAGTCTTGATGCGTGTCTCTTTCCTGTCTTTGAGCCCCACTCTCTTTCTTTATATATATATATATATATTTATATGTATATATGTGTGTGTATGTGTGCGTCATGCTTTCTCTTTCACTCGCTCTTTATGTTTTTCTCCTGCCGATGTGTTTCTTTATCCCAATCGCTGAATCTTTCACCCGCGTCCATCTAATCTAAGACACGCTTTCCTTACCGACACTTGTCTGTTTCAGCTCCGTAGACAGAGAGATCTGTTTGGGACCCAACTGCTGAAATCCCAAGTGGAGCTGAGTCTAGAGAAAAAACGGAGCAGAGTGTCAGAGACCGCGATGGAGAATGCTTCTGTCTCATACAGGAACTTACTGAATGATCTGAAATTACTGAAACTTGAAATTAAAGACTTGAGGACGGAAGCTGAAGATTCAAGAAGGAAATACTTTAATGATTGACAGTCTAAGGTAACGACGTGTCCTTTTCTCATGTCACTTGTCAAGGGATTAAGTGATTTTGTTTTCCCACTAGTCTTGCTTTTGATTGCGTTATATTACTGTGCGCGCTGATATCTGTCCTTGTTTAGATACAAAAATGCATGTTGTTTCTGTATAGCTTCTTGTGTTGTTGAATGTTGAACTTTGAAGAATTGACATCACAGTACTCGAGTCACCCCCATAAGCGCCCTGTCCCCATCTTCGACAGCAAGCGAAGAGTTAAAATTCCCATGGCACCAGTAACTGTCTGATTGTATATTCGTCTCGCCTTTCCCCTAAGTGTCGAGCGTCGGTAAGATCCCCTTGTAACTCCTCGCTGTGCCATTTTCCTCAGACGGTAATGATCTATATGTGCCTCGGCACTGTTCACTCGATCCCAAAGGGCCCTCACAGCTTGTCATACATCAGTTCACCACGAAATAATACAGACCCGGCCAGTCTATCTGACTGCTCATTTCCCAACACACCGGAATGACCTGGAGAAAATATCAAAACCATGCTAACTACCCGAGACCTTTGAAGTTAGCTTCTTGTGTATCTTAGTAAATTTAACAGCATGTACCCTCTTCTGTAAAGGTTTCCTGCTGGTATGGAAGTTTCTGTTGTGCTCTGGTCCCTTGAGGAAAATATTCACAATATAAATGACGTGTTATAAACATTGAGGAGAGGCCGGCCGAGAGGCGACTTAAATTGCGCACTTCCGGCGATTTCCACCACCGCCGAGAGTATCTCCTACGCCTGTTCGCGCGGCATGGATTGGGGCTAAACTAGATGGCAAATAAAATAAAGGAAGCCGCAGGAGATGCGGTAGCTGCTGCTCGTGAGTCCCAGCCAACTAGTTTAGCCCCAATCCACGCCGCACGAACAGGCGTGGGAGATACTCACAGCGGTGGTGGAAATCGCCGTAAGTGCGCAATTTAAGTCGCCGGAAGTCCCCAATTGACATGTGACTGAGGCCCTGTTAGGGTATATTTTCGACTCCTATGATTTGGGACCGTTATTCGGAAGACAGCCCAACATACTAACCTGCTCCTTGCACTGCGACTGTACTAGCCATGCTGCCCTAAATCCTCAGGCTTAAAGATCCCCCCCCCCCCCCACCACCCACGCAAAAAACAAGTTTATAAATACGGGCGTATTACGGAATCTTGCAGCACCAAATACCCCATCATGCTTCTGTTGGTCATTTCAAAGATATTAGATGGACTTTACTACATCGGTCATGTACTCAGAATGGATAAGACGAGACTTCCCCATCAAGCCCTAATATGGACTCTGGAATAAAAAAAAGAAAGCGGGGAAGACCAAGAGAGACTACGTAGAACCGTCATCAGATAAGGCTCAACAAACATCCAAGACCTAAAACAGGTGGCAACAAACCGTCAGACATGGAGAGCTATGACCTCTGCCCCATGCGCCACCCTAGGCCTAAGAGGAAAGACTAGATAACTAATTTATTGTCTTCTTACACTGGCTGTTTGTTACAATAACCACTTGCTTAAATACTTCTGTTCAATGTTTTGTTTGTTGACCATCTTTGAGCACTTTTAGCACCTATTTATTGCTTTTCAGTTCCTTTGGGCAGAAGGGGTTAAAATACAATAGCTTGCTGTTGACAGAGTCGACTCCTTATTTCTTCACTTCCTATTTTACCAATCTGAGTTTTGGAGGCGACACAGATTTTTGAATCTCGCTCTTCTTGACAGGCATAATACTGTCGAGCAGTTTATCTGGAGTTAACTTTTGTACTTTCTTCTTCCCACCCAATTCTCTCGTTGCATATACTACGTATGAAATAACGCCACAATACATTCTTTGCGATTGGGTTACTAATTTCACTTATTGACATTGCAAATAATTCAATCTTCTGCTATGCCGACTTTTTCTCTTACAATCTAATTCATGATAAAATTTATTCTGCTCACTCCATCCTGAGACATCTCATTTCTGCAGTTATTGATTTTCATGTCTGTTTTGTTGTGGGAGTGACGCTGTCTGACTCTGGCATATAGAGTAGGTATAAATGTCCTCCACAGCCTATATTTTTTTTCCCATGTAATTAAGAGTGTAATTTTCAACCCTATTGTCTTATCTTCAAAGGCAAGAGTTGGCCAAATTTTCAACAGCCCTGGAGCTGGAGAAGGCAAAATCTCGGACCTTAGAAGAAACGAGAGTACCCATAATCCATCGATGGAGAGCCCTTATGGTGAGACCATATAAATCTGTAGACCTCTCAGACCTTTAACCTGTAGCCCAATGTGGGGATAACCTTTAACCTGTAGCCCAATTAGAGGATAACCTTTAACCTGTAGCCTCATATGAGGATAACCTTTAAACTGTAGCCCAATGTGAGGATAACCCTAAACCTGAAGCCCAATGTGAGGATAACCTTCAACAACTGTGTCCGTGTGTGCGTGTCCCCCCCCCCCCCCACCCTCTCCGGGCGTCCACCTGAAACTTTGACACCCTAAGATTCGTCTTCTTCTTCTTTTGTCGTATCACTGATACCAGGTTGTAGCCCAGTGTCGTGGTTTTATGAATTTGTCTTGCGTTTCTCGGATGGTTTGGGTGATGGATTTGTTCATCTTTTTGCAGGTTTTAGCTACACCATTTATCCATCTCTTTCTTAGTATTCAATATTTCTTGTGTAGTAGCAATCGTTTACACAACTGCCGGCTTGCTAGGCCCTTTGCCTGGTGGGGCAGGAAAACAGAATATGGCCTGGCTGGTGCAGTCTCCTTCCAGGCGAGTCACTGCCCCGATAGCCTGAAACAGTTTTCCGGCGTAAACCACGAAAATGTGGGGTTGACCTGGGTGCTCTACGGGTCGTTGGCAGGTTACTTAAATGTCACTTTTCACCTCTCCAAAGAGAAGCTAGCCACCCGCAACACGGCTAGCTGCAGAGCCAAGTGCCTGAGCACATCCTTAAACACCCTGAGATTAAAAAAATTTAATCTGGATGTCATAGCAACGGTCGACTTTTGATAACACTTGAAACCAAAGCAAAACGTGTTTCTGCCAAATCGTCTGCAGCAGGGATGAAACCCGGCAACCCAGCATTTCGAAGCGCGTTCGCAACGCCTAAGCTACAGACGCCGACTGGTAGGGCTCAATCAATCTTCTTTCGTTTCATGGTTACTCCTAGTGTCCCTTCTCCTAGTGTTCCCTACCCGCGAAATGCGGAGTTATTTCCGGTAGCGCGGGAACTTCTGATGAAATCACCTGCAGAAGTTGTTCCCCCTAACTATTGTCCTGATTAATTTTCCTGGATTAATCTTCCTCGTGTATTTGAACCGGAGTGCTGCCGAAAAATTATGATAATATCATGGACCAAGAAGATGAACAACACCCACATCCTTTGTCATCTGAGCATCGAGGAGAATTGGCTCATAAACAGCATCCTGTCCCGAAAGCTGAGGTATTTTGACCACGTTTAACGTCATGGTGGCCTGGAGAGGACGGAAATGGAGGGTACCGTTTCCGGAAAATAAAAGACTTCCGGGAATGTGGACCGAAGATCCTTTGGTTGTGAAAGCACATATGGCAAGAGAAATAGAGAAATAGAGACTTCAGACGTGCTATCACTAGAGCGAAGTTCTGTGAAGGGTTTGCTGATTGATGATGATGAATTTTCTTCGGACGGAGAATAATGTGCTTTGTGATGTTCGGATCTTTTAATGGATTTTTTAAAATTTTACGTGGGTTCTAGAGTCGACCAAGCCTAAAATGTATGGTTGTCCAAGACAATGTTCTGGGTAGGAAGGATGGCATACGTAATATAATCACATCAGTCAAAAACCTTTTGGCCTCCAAACTTATCGTACTAGATGCCCAGTGGAAGACAATGCCAGAACTGCTACTTTCTGGGCTCGTCCAACTTGTCTCTACCGTAATTTTTTTTTTAAACCTTTTAATTATTGCATTTTCTGTGTGAATTATTTCTCGTATTTGTGACATTGTGTGTTCGTGTCACCGCCTTCTTAAGAATATATTTCTTCCGTGGGTCACGGTTCATGTAATATGCTGATAAAGACATTCTAGCCGCAACGTTTGTGTTAATGTGAAGCTGAATGGTTCAAGTTTTCGTTTGGTTTGATATCTTTTAATATGCTTCTCTTACTTCTTGTATGTATCCCAGGCTTCGGATCCATCCAAATACGAGATGTTTATGAAGATGGGCAGACTCACGAAGAGGCTGATAGCGAAAACCACAGAGTCCATGGAGAAAGAACTGGTTATCCAGCAGAAAGATTTTTACATGTTAGAGATTCAAACCCTGATCGCACGCCGCACAGCGCTCCAAAACCATCCCGAGCTCAGCCAAGCCAAGGCTATTATTAGGAAACAGACCAAGCAGCTGCAGGTAGGGTCAAGGTGACAGTGGTAGTGGTTGTAAACTGGGCGTTGCAGAGTTTTTTCTCTCACTGACCATGCCTTGTGGCATTGGTAATCATGTCAGTCTGGTATTCTGTCCAACGTCTATCATCTCCATGTGTGAGTTTAGGGTCCTCACTTAGGGGTTGTGGGGAAAAAATAGACCCACTGTCCCTTATCAAGCATGTCGTAAACAGCTACTCGGGGAATTCGCTGAATTCGGATTTGTTGGACCAAAAGGCACATATATCCCAGCCTAGCTGCAAACCCCAACACCACGTGTCAGCCGCCATTTTAAGGGCGAACGCTAAAAGAGAAGTCAGTCATTTTTGATACAGGTGTTTTTCGAGGTCTCAAACTGTTGTGATATCTTTTCTTTTGGTCTCTTCCCTTGTAACGCCCTCCTTGCTTTCCCCTTCTCATGACGTGCCCAAAGAGTGTAGACTGACTCCTTCTGATATGGATGATCGGCTCTTTTCATGAAGTAATGTCTGTCAATACATATTTATTGTAGGTACTTTTGTTAAAAGGGGGCGTCCGTGGCTTAGGCGTTGCGGGTCTGACTTTTAATGCCAACGTACCGCGATCGAAACCCACTGCTGGCTGCGTGGATTTTTTATCATGGTATGGGGCGTCGCAGGTCGACTTAGTCTAAAATGGGTACCAGGATAGATGTCCTGGGGAAGTAAACATGGCCGGCGTAATGCTGACCACATTACCCACCTAGTGCCGATTGGTCTGTGAAAATATGGACTGCTCTTCCCATATGCCCGATGCGACCAAGGCGTGATAAGGGATCTTTAGTTTTTTTCACTTACCTAATTTTGTTGAAACACAGTTAATCAATAGAGCCAGGTAGCCATGTTTATTAACGCGATTGCCTGTCAGGATGGGGCGTGCGTGTTCAACTATCTATATAATCTAAGAAAAAGTATAGTGAACACAGATTCTTTCCTCTTTGGTGAAATTTCTATACAAGTGAAAGTAAAAGTCCCGTGAATACAGATCCTTCATTCTTTGAAGAAATTTCTATATACATGTAAGAAAAGGTACGGTGGCCGCAAATCCTTCATTCATTTGTGACATTTCTAAATAAAGGCAAGAACAAATCCCCTCATCATAGATCCTCCATTCTTTGGTGAAATTTCTATATAAACCTAAGAAAAAATCACGTGAACATACGTTTCACCGTTAGATAAAGCATGATGTCACAAGTACAGCGACGTGTTTCACTGTTAGACTTAGAATGATGTCATAAGTACAGAGGTGTTTCACTGCCAGACTTAGCATGATGTCATAAGTACAGAGGTGTTTCACTGCTAGACTTAGCATGATGTCATAAGTTTGAGAGATGTTTCACTGTTAGACTTAGCATGATGTCCCAGGTAGAGAGAGGTGTTTCACTGTTAGACTTAGCATGATGTCATAAGTCTGAGAGGTGTTTCACTGTTAGACTTAGCATGATGTCCCAGGTAGAGAGAGATGTTTCACTGTTAGACTTAGCATGATGTCCTAGGTAGAGAGAGATGTTTCACTGTTAGACTTAGCATGATGTCCCAGGTAGAGAGAGATGTTTCACTGTTAGACTTAGCATGATGTCCCAGGTAGAGAGAGATGTTTCACTGTTAGACTTAGCATGATGTCCCAGGTAGAGAGAGGTGTTTCACTGTTAGACTTAGCATGATGTCCCAGGTAGAGAGAGATGTTTCACTGTTAGACTTAGCATGATGTCCCAGGTAGAGAGAGGTGTTTCACTGTTAGACTTAGCATGATGTCATAAGTCTGAGAGGTGTTTCACTGTTAGACTTAGCATGATGTCCCAGGTAGAGAGAGGTGTTTCACTGTTAGACTTAGCATGATGTCCCAGGTAGAGAGAGGTGTTTCACTGTTAGACTTAGCATGATGTCCCAGGTAGAGAGAGGTGTTTCACTGTTAGACTTAGCATGATGTCATGAGTTTGAGAGATGTTTCACTGTTAGACTTAGCATGATGTCCCAGGTAGAGAGAGGTGTTTCACTGCCAGACTTAGCATGATGTCATGAGTAAAGAGGTGTTTCACTGTTAGACTTAGCATGATGTCATAAGTCTGAGAGGTGTTTCACTGTTAGACTTAGCATGATGTCATAAGTCTGAGAGGTGTTTCACTGTTAGCCTTAGCATAATGTCCCAGGTAGAGAGAGAGAGAGGTGTTTCACTGTTAGACTTAGCATGATGTCACAGGTACAGAGATGTGTTTTACTGTGACACTTATCATGATGTCACACGTACTGAGAGGTGTTTCACGGTTAGACTTAGAATGATGTCATAAGTACAGAGGTGTTTCACTGCCAGACTTAGCATGATGTCACAAGAAGGAGGTGTTTCATTGCTAGACTTAGTATAATGTCACGAGTACAGACAGATGTTTCACTGTTAGACTCCGACCTGATAGTACATGTGCAGATTTGTGTGTCAATGATAGAGATTTGAAAGCGACACTTGCCTGTGGTTTCAGGCCCTGCAAGGAGAGCTGAACATTGCCAGACATGATCTGGTGTCCCAGAACAGTGTCATCGAAAAGCATCATGACAGCCTGCTCGAGGCCAAGAAGAAAACTGTAGAGCAGCAGCGGGTCACTCGCAAGTATGTCAGATAGCTTAGGTTATAAATTCACCTCTTGCATCAAACCTTACGGTATTATCTTTCCTTTGCATAAACACGATAGGCTGAGAATATCATCGTCATGTGTCCTGTCAACTGGCGTAGGCGCTCACGATCTCTGTTAAACTGGAACAGCTCTCTTGATAATATCCCTCCATGTCATCGTTTTAGCCCATCCAGCATAATCTCTCTTGGTCTGCCTCTACCCCTTTTCCCACTGATCTTTCCACAAGATGTTCTCCAATGTCTCTCTTCTCATTATGTGGCCAAAGAACAGCGTTTGTCTCTTTCCTATTGTTGTATATAGAGATCTACTTTCATTAGCCTCTTTCATGCAATCTTTGTTAGTTACTCTGGCCGTCCAAAGTATTCGTAACATTCGTCTCAGAAACCACATCTCTGTTGCTTTCAAATTCTTCCTAATTTGTTCAGTGACATTCTAAGATTTGCTGAAATACAGCAGAACAGATTCTATGTAACATTTTAGCACCCTCTTAAGCTGAGAATGAAAACTTTAATTATAACACAACCTAACTTCTTTTTCTTCAATCCATCTGTCAGAAAGCTTATATCAGAAGGCCAGTAGCCTTTATAAAAGCTATTGTGCAGTCCATATCCTCTAGTCTACCATACAGTTTTTTTTGTAGTTGGAACAGGCGTTTCTGTTGTCAGCATACAGTTGACAGTGTTGGAGCACATGCTCAGCATTTTCGAGTGCCAAGTTCCATACCTAACAAAACATAGTCCCTTGACCCGTTAGGTTTTGAGAGAAGCACTAGCACATAAAACCCGCAATCATTGTCTTCTGCTTGATGAATAAATGTAGGATAGCTTAGTCCTGTTCATTTCTTGATGTTGTCATTCCAGGATCTTCTTTGCACTCCTCTTCTTCAACTAATTCAAGTGTTTTTTGAAGTACGGTCTTTGCAATCGACTCATGTCCGATCCAAGCTAGCTTGCGAGATTTCACCACTGCCAAGAGAGTCTCGTGATATTCTTTAAATTCGTATATTCTGTCTCTGATATATTTGTTAGTTTTGTATTCTAATTTTCCTAATTTGCAGACAATTAACTTCATTCTAAAACGATATAAAATTAAAAGAAAAGTAGACCAGCGAGCTTCACGATATTAAAAGAAAAAAACCACTCAAACGGAAAGGGAACGTTGCGGCTACACAGCCTTCATTAGCACATTACGCAAATCGATAAAACCACAGTAACAGACACGAATACACAAAATCACTTAATTGCCGTATTTCCGACAGCAACCACGTTGTTGTCCGGCCAGTGGAATTAAGGACTTTTCCCCCTATAAATTTACCCTGTTCAACATGTAATTGAAGGTTATAAGTTTTGGTGATTTTTGTTTATTTTTGAAGTGCTTGATTGTTGCCGAAAATTTAGCTTATCTTTCAACAGTTTTTTTTTTCTCAATATTCGCTATAAATGGCAGGCGGTGCTGTCTGGTGTCTGCCTCTCTTCCTTCTGCTACGTGAGGGTCTGTCTTATGTTGCTTTCTTAGGCCTTGCTCTGATCTGGCTGCTTTCATCTTGGCTGTCGACTATCTATCTCTACGTCGGAGTCACTAGCTACATGTCGGGGCTTCGATCTCATTTTCTGATTGGTCGTTTTCCCGTGGCTTTCCGGAATTTTCTCATCGTTTGTTGAGGGCCTGTTGTTTGGCTTTTGTTTTCTCCAGCGTGGCATTGTACTCTTTTAATTATTTCTAGGCTGTCTCTTTTTTATCGAGCTCTGCAGCTCGTTCAGTTCAGCCATCTTCTTGTCTACATCGACAGTGGAGGTGGCTTTTTTTTCCGATGCGTTCACCGTCTCTGTAGCCTGATTTGTGCTGCTTCTTCGATTTCTGCTTTTGTCACAGTCTCTGTAGCCTGCGATTTGTGCTGTTTCTTAGATGTTTGCGTCCCGGTGTCTCCTGCGTTTGTCATTGTCCCTGTGTACAGCGACTTGTGCTGCCGCTCCTTTGGCTCAGGTTTTGTGCATCTATTCGTCATACTTGCCTTCTGGGTGGGGTGCGCTTCGCTTAGCTGCGTTTTCAACTCTTTGATCACTGTAAAGAGTCGTCTTTTTTCAATGGTTGACATACCTATACTGTCTCACTCTTTCTTCATGCTTTATTATGGAATGTTGTTGACCATTGTCATCTATATTGTCTTCTTGTATTCCTGCAAGTAAGGGCAGCGACGTTACTTGCTCCATGGTTGCTGAAGCAGGGATGCTTCGAGCAGAGTGGCAAGCTTTACTGGGAAGGTCACGGGTAGTAAGCATACTTTAGATCTTTTCTCCCTAGGCCAAGCCAGTGTGGTGGATTATGAACAGGCAGACAGATTGGCTGGATCTGCACTACTGGGTGGTGAAATGATACATGACAAGGCAGATGTGGTCAAGACCCTTTGGGAACAAGCAACGGAATCAGCAGAGAAACAAGATTATTATGGCCTGGAGAGAACGAGGCACCTGGGCTCACTACACTCAAAAGAAAGGCAAGACGGACATATAACCATATTGTGACCGGTACCCTCAGTATTGGAACTCTGCGCTGGCTGCTGAGGATGAGGACAGAGCATGCATGGAAATGCCCAGAGTGCTGTGATGTCAATTCTTGGCTCAACTGAAAACAATCTTCCATCGTCGGCTAAGTGATCAATACAGATATGAGTCTTCTATCACAAGCTCAATGTGCCACTGGCAGTGCAATCTAAATGTTACAGAATAATTTCCAGATTGCACTTTTGTCTCCTACAGGCTGATGAACCAGAACGTCAACAGGGTCAAGCTGCCTTCAATTTATCCGAGAGTCGTCAGAACTTATCGTGTCTCAGGATCTTAACCTGTATTGTTACAGGCGATGATTTTAGTTACTCTTTTTTTAATGGAGTTATCTCCGTAAGAAAAGACGCTGATCACAGCCTCAAGGACAAGCAGCCATAAAAATGAATGGGAAATGAATTTCCTGGGACATACTGTAACCTATTTAGTGTTATCTCATTATTATATTTTATCTTTTTCATGCTTACATGCTTTAATGATGTCATCATCATGTATCTCCATAACCCTCGTTTTCTATTGCTTTTTACCATTTAATGTGTCAATTATAATTCCATTATATAGTACAAGACTGTACAAAATCTTCTTCTAATCATCTTCTTATGTCTATTAATCATTCTAGTTGTTGCAAAATTTTTTTGAGCGTTTATCTTCTCATGACATAGTCATAGAATGCAGTCATCAGTTATACCTTAAACAACAAAACTATAAATTTTCTCAACTTGTCCAGCGCCAAGCTGCTTCCCTCTCTGTTTTCTGGCTTTACAAACAAACAACAACAAAACTATACGTTTTCTTAACTTGTCCAGCACCAAGCTGCTATCTGTCTCCCTCTATTTTGTGGCTTTATAAAACAAACAACAACAAAATGTAGAGAACTCCGTTAACCCGTTTCTTCTGTGAGAATCATAAATAACACAGTCAAGGATCCTAAAAATACCTTTGGTAGATTTTTAACTCAAATTTTTTGCCAGTACAGTACCTGTTAGGCTGGCTACTTTTTTATTTCCAACTGCCATGGGATTTTTTTTGGAGTGCAACAATTACAATTACTACCCAAAGAGCAGGGTAAATTACTAAACGACCACGTGAAAAAATCCCAGCCTTTAAGGGGCTTGAACCCTGAACCTTCAGCACTCAAGGCAGACGCCATGCCCCAAGACCCCTCAGCCTTTGTGCCACAGCAACTCATTCATATGTCCTTGAAGTACACTTAACATGAACTATACCTTACACCAAGTCTTTTTGACTGGCCGCCCATGGAAAATCTAGCCCGCACAGGCCTAGCGGATCACTGCCAGTTGTACTTTATTAATGATCTTTCTATGCTTGGGCTTCTGGCTAGTGACCATCTCCATTTTGGTCCCTAAGTTAACTTAGTTGGATAGCCCTGCCTTACACCTTACGTGCAGCGGCATCTTACATCCATTAATTACTGTCTAAACCAAATAACTGATAATGTATCCATCAGTTTACTTCCTACACTCTCCTTCTTGGTACTTTTCAAACGATGGTGTTAATACTGTGCCATTGGACGGCAAGGGTCTCACAACCCCGTAGCGATGCCGAGTGTGACTAGCAAGAGCAGCTTGTGTTCAGAAATATCTTCCACAATTAGTACATGGCATTTGGGGGACATTGCTGCTATTGTATGTATTTGTGTTTCTTCTTAGATGCTCAGTTCTTTACTTATCTGCCACTATTATTCCCTTACCGATTTTCCACCTCCAATCAGCACTGTCCCTGGCATTTTATTCCTAAACATCCATCTCAATACCTGTATCATTCAGTCCCGCTTGCATCCATTTTTATATCGTGTCAAAGGCCGACCTCAGCATCAGTGCTTTATTAATATCCTACCCCAAACAGGGGAAATCTACTGGTCATGGGACAGTCTAATATTTCAGGGGGTGGTAGATAGGCTGCATGCAGGCATGGGACCTAGGCTGCACTCTCGTTGGGCATAGGTGGGTTGGGGTTAGGGCCAGTTCTAGATGTTTTGGGGTCGTTAAAAGCATCAGAAAGCCCAGAAACCCAGTCTTACCACCCTCTGAAGTGTTGGACTGTCCTGTGACATCATCAGGGGTAGGATATTAATAAAGCACCTAAGCCTCTTCCACCCATCTGTAATAAATCCTAGAGCATGCTCTTAGGGACTCAAACAACCTTCATCCTCCAAGTGTGACCAAGCCATCTGAGCCTTTGAGGTCGAGCATTGAGAAAACTGTTATGATACATGCTTATTCCAACACTTCAGTGTTTTGTTGTCTTTTCATTCAATGCGAAGTATTCTTCTTAAGCATCACAC